ATTAAGCCTTCTGTATATTCCTTTGGGACATTGGGGGCCTGATCAGTCCACAATGACTAAGAGGTATTATTACCCCATAGTATTATATACTTAGAAATTCAGGATCCCATCTACTTAATCCTTGGATCCAAATCGATTTACAGCCAGGTGTGGTGGCACACGCCCATAATCCCACTCCACACACGAGGATCATAAGTCAAGGCCAGCCCAGACTATATAGCAAGTTCAAGGCCAGCCTAAGCTATAGCAATCCTGAAGAAACCAAAACAAACAAACACTGATTTACGGCAGAACAGCTAGAGAGCAAAAGACAGGGAAAGCAAAAGGGCACCAGTTAGAACTGCACGCGAAGCAAAGAAGTATTACACACTTCTTAAATTAAAAGACTGGGGGCTGAGAATATAGCACAATGGCACAACTGCTTACCTGGCAAGTGTAAGATACTCAGTTCAATTCCTGGTGCAAATAAAAAAAATGCTTAAAGGACTAAAATTCAATGAAGCAACGTAGATATTAAATGGAGGGCCATAAAATAAACCAAAGGAAAAAATGAATAGACTGAAATTAATGACTAATGAAAAGGGAAAGAAAAAGTAGGGAAAAAAATATATATATATAGGGGCTGGTGAGACAGCTCAGTGGTCTAAAGCGCCTACTTAGGAAAGCTTAGGCAGGCTCAGGAAACTGCAGTTCAATCCCAGCACCACATGCCGTGCCAGCCCCACCCTCTAGGTGGACTGTGCTGGCAAGCATGCATGTTCTCTCTTTCTCTCTCTCTCTCTCTCTCTCTCTCTCTCTCTCTCTCTCTCTCTCTCTCTCCATATGTTGAAAATTCTGGTACCTCCAGTTAGAACCTCATTCATAATGCTTAATAATTCTATTCATTTGGAAAACTTAATAACATAATAATAAACTCTTCCTAAATAAATACGTAGGAAACAGTCCAATCGGCATCCTTCCAGGTTGCTTATTCCAGCATTATTTCAAATCAATAAAAACAATAAATGGTCAACCCCAGCAGATCAAAAAAGGTTAGATAGAATCTTTGTCTTTTTTTTTTTTTTTCTTTTGGCAGAACCAGGGATTGAACTCAGGCCCTTGCACTTGCCAGGGAAGTGCTTATTCCACTGAGCTATCTCCCCAGCCGGTTAGATAGAATCTTGCATAACTATATCTATTAATCTGAGCAATAGATTTAATGATAAAAACCATTGTTCATTAGCTATTGTTTTGAAAGTCTGTATTGTTGTATGTTACCCTGTTTCTGTCTTTGTTTCTGCTATTTGTTTTTGCTTTTGATTTCACTCTTGAAAATTAAATTAAATTTTTAAAAAAGGTTGAGTAAGTTAGTGATTCTGCCCTGAGGACATTCCACAGCTAGTGATGCAGAGTAACTTAATAGTAAAGCAGAATCACTGCCTGTGACAAATGTCCTAAACAGGCTGCGGACAAGTCCACAGAGGGAATCCGTGGAAGGACCAAAGTTTCATCAGTGCCCAGCTCTGCTCAGAGACGGGAGAAGGAGGGGGGTCCAGCAGCCTGCTGTTCACCGCCAGCCCCTAGGACAGAAGGCCTCAGGAGCTGAGACCCACAAGCAGTCCGTGGGGACACTCTCACCAAAGCCTCAGGATCCAGGGCTCCTGCTATGTCACTCACTTGTTCCAATCTGATTTCTGTTCCCATTGTCCTACCAAAATAGCAACTGCACATTCTCCCATCACTGGCCATGGCAGCAGTGCCACCACTGGCCACTTGGTCCTCCCAAAGCAAGTTGACTCTGGCTCCTATGAATAGAACCTCAACAAAACCTCTGGGGACTGGGGAGATGGCTCAGTGGAATAAGCGCTTCCCTGGCAAGCGCAGGGCCTGAGTTCAATCTCTGGTTCCGCCAAAAAAAAAAAAAAAAAAAAAACCTCTGTCCAACCCAGACACCTGACCCCAAGACCCATGGACCTACGTGGTATCTCAAAGGTACCACAACTCAAACTGAATTCAGGACCTTCTCTACTCCAAACCAGGTCCTGTCCGGCCTCCCATCCTAGGTCACAGGACACACCCCTACACCAGCCTAGGGTGAGGGTGTAGCCTCTCGTGTGGGTGCCCAGCCCACAGCTTGGCCAACAGTGAACACTTCAGAACAGTCCAACAGAAACAACCCTTGTCACCTACTTCCTAAAAATATCTGTGACCTTTTCAGCAGACAGGGGAAGCTAACATCTATGACCAACCACACCCCATACTGGCCACCTTTTTCCTCAGAGATGCCACAAATCGTCTCACCCCCCTTGATACATTCTTTCTCCCCACTCATACCAGATGGCCCTCACCTCTCCTCCCTGTCCCCCAAGTCAACCTCCCCACTGCCCAGGCAGGTGATCCCTGACTTCCCTCTCAAATTGCCTGCCCACTTCTTTTCTTCTAAGATGCACACCTTTGTCCCTGTGTCTGTCTCTGTCTCTCTCTCTGCCGCATGAAGATGCAACCAGAGCCTCACCCTTGCTAGGCAAGCAATCTGTCACTGAGCTACAGCCCCAGCACCCCCCTACACACACACATACACAGTATCATCACTATTGCCTCCTCCTCCTCCTCACAGATCACAAACCCCTCCTACAAACATCCTGCAACGGCTGTCTGTCCTCAGAATATTGGGGCCGGGTGACTCAAAGGCAAAGATGAGAGAACTCTGCACCTGATTCCTTGGTGCCCACACCCATCACTGCCTGTCACCAGCACAGGGAGGGCCAGCTATTGTCAGGTGTGTCCTTAGGAACCTCCTGTGACTATCATGTGACTATCAGCCCTTCATTTCAGGGTCCCTGGGGTGAGGGTCAACAGGGCCTAATGTCAAACAGTTTCAATGGCCACTACAGAGTTCCTTGCTAAAGAGAGCTTAACTATCTCTGTCTACAAATGCCAACTCCCACCAAGGAAATCTCAGTTCCTTCGTTACCCTAGGAACTTTCTTATCTCAAACACTCAATGTTCTGGCAACAAGGGGATCCAAGAGTGTTGGAAAGAAAAACCCAGAGAAACCAGAGTCTGCTGCCTCCAGGTGGCCAGCACCCAGCCCCACCAGAAGACTTCCGTGGGACACACTGCCAAGAATCGCTGTAGCCTCAAGAGGAAAGAAGACAGCTAGGAAGAGAGAAAGGAAAGGTCCTAGGCTCCAATTCCAGCCCACGCTCAATTCTACTGAGTTCCTACTCCAGCCCTCTCAACCTCCCATTACCTCCTCCCATTCATGACCAGGGCATCCCAAGTCCATCCTGGCCATATGGACAGAGCAACCAGGAAGGGTCCTTCATGTTTTTCTGGCTCAAGAAAAGGACCAAATGGAAGGACCTGGCCTTTCAGCTCCTCTCACCTCAGTCTGGATGCACCACCAGCTCACCCTCCCGGCTCTTGGGCACCTACCCCATCAGTCCAATGTTCTCACTACTGAGAAACTACTGTGCTTCCTCTACCTGCCTCTCACTCAACACTCCCTGAGCATCTAATAAAGCAAGGCCCCTCTTGGGTGCTGTATGAGACCCAGAAGTGAGCGGGGAACTGAGCTGCACTGCAGAGCCAGCACAGGGCACGGCTGAGATGCACGGCCCCAAAGTACTACTCAAGGCTGCCAGGCACGTCCTGAGAACTGGCCAGGAAGAGGGGGCTGCAAGAGCCAGCGCAGGGCATGGCCTATCCCTCTGCTGGGCAGCAGACGCAGGTATGGCTGGCACATGATGGGTACAATGAGGGAAGAAGGGCACTTTTTGCCTGAGCAAAGCAGGGAGCCAGCTCAGAAGGTCAGTCTCCCTGGCTGTACCTTCTGATGGAAAGGAAGAAACAGCAGTATCGCTATATCATTCACTGGGGCTTGCATCTGATTACATACACATCACTGCTTTGCTCACTGTATGCCCAACCTCAGTGACATCCACCTGGAACACCCGGACAGGCCTACCAGTTGCCACCCATCCTGCCTGGCCAGTATTTGAACACTGCGCAGTGGTTTCATATACTAACTCATTGAATCTGCCCAATAAGCCTGGGAAGTGTGTGTTATAATGATGCCCGTTTTACAGAGGCAGAAAAAAGCACAAACAGGTGCGAGATCAGGCAGCCCCAAGCAGGCGCAACCAAGGCCAGGGTAGCCCCTCACCTCCACTCGGATGCTGTGAGCACTTTGTTGTACAGACAGAGCCTGGTGGTCTGGGGCTCCACTAAGCCCCCTGCAAATAACTGATTGTAAAATGAACGAGGGACGCAATGTGATGAGCAGCTATAAGGGTCAGCAAGATGGCCAGCTCCCCCCTGGGGGCCGGCGGTGCCTACGGTGTAGGCAGGGCAGCAGGAGGTTCAGTCTTGCAGGAAGGGGACCACAGTGGAGAGAAAGAAGGCTGGGGTGGGGTGGAAGAGGGGACCTACGAGGATACCTAGGGTCCGTCCCTAGATCTCCAAACTCCAGAGGTCACTGGTGAGGGATGTGTCCTGGGTGCAGTGTCCCCAGCTCTGGCTAGCACTGGCTAGCTTAGCTTTTCCCCTCCAGTCTCAAGACAAGGAACCTCACACCTGCGCTTTTAACCCACTGACCAGGTTCTCCTTTCTGAGCTCTCAGGGACCCAGCCCGAGCACAGAGTCAGCCAAATCCTAGAATCCCTGCAAAAACTGGAAAAGGGTGAGGTCGCATTCTCCCCATGCCTAGGGTCGGAGCCTTACAAATACGCCGCAATGGTGGCCGCTCCCAGGAATCCGCGTCCTACTACTAGGAGCAAAGTTCCCCAGGCACCTTCGCCCCACGCTTCCCAGCACAGTGGGCCCTTCCGGACACCGCGGGCGGGGCCTTGACCGGCCGGCTGGAGGGGCTCAGGTCGCCGTCCCGCGCGCTCCGAGCCCGGCCCTCACCTCCCCCGTCTCCGCCCGGCCCACCCCGCCCGGCGCCGGCTACCAGGAAGCGCAGAGCCGGGCCCGGAGGAGCGCGGACCTCCAACGCCACCGCGCGGGACCTCGCTCACCTGGCACCGGACACCGAAGGGCGAGGGGGACGCGGCAGCAGCGACCTCTCGGCGGGCGCCTCGGCTCTGCTGGACCTTGGCCCCGCTCCGCAGCACTCAAGACCCGCGGGCGCCTCGGCCGGGAGTGCTGGGTGGGGCGGGGCGGGGGAGGAGCCCCGGGGCGGAAAACTCCCGGGGCGCCGGGCCCCAATCGCTGCGGGGCGGGACCGGGGTGCAGGGGCGGAGCCTCCTTGGGGTGCCCGCCCCTCGGGGCGTGGCCTGAGTTGGCCCGGCCCCCAGGTGGAGGCAGGGACCCGACCTGCGGAAGGAAGCCACCGTCTTTCCGGCGACCGGGGCGGAGGAGGAGCCCAGGGCGGAAAACTCTAGGACTGTGGAGCCCAACCGGGTCCTGGGCGGTGCGAGTCCCTTGGGCGGAGCCAGGGCTGCCCGGCGGGGGCGTGGCCAAACCTTTGGGGGGGCGGGGCCTGGGCTCAGGCCAGACCACGTCTGCAAAGGCAAACCATTCTCCTTCCGGCGACCCGGGCGGAGGAGCGCCCCTACGGTTAGCCCACTGACCTCTTCGTGCTCTGTGCTGCGGTGATCTCCAGGAAGGAACGCCTTCTGTAGCACCGTGTAGGTTTTTAGTGACCTTTCAGGGTGAAGGAAACTTTCTACATTAAAAAGGTCGCACTGTGCAGAGGGGGGGAGGTGGCGCGTGGCTTCGTAGTGCAGAAACCCAACGCTCGCCTCCGCCGGCGACCACAGCCAGCAACCTCCGGGACGACGCTACCCACTGGATGTACCGCGGTGACCTCTTCTCCAGAACACAGAACGCCATTGCGATCGTGCAAAAACACTTGGCAGACCCCAGGGAGAGACACTTTGGGGAACACTCAAGGTCAGCAAAACCAAGGGAAGGCCTGAGAACAGAGGAAAACTAAATGGGACGCAGGATCTTGGATGGGATCCTGAAAAAAGACATTAGGTCAAAACCAAGGACCTCTGGAGTGGTTAGCAAGAATGTATCAGTACCAGTTCATTCACTGGCAAAAAGCTCCACATGAACATTTACGAAGAAACCCGGGTTTAGAACAACTTCCTGTGTTGTTTTCACAATTCTTCTACAGGTCTGTAACTGTTCTAAAAATAGTTCCTTTTATAAATGACTGTGCAGGTAACATATGGCAGTTATAAAACAACCAAAAAGTAAAAGCTGAAACTCGCACTCCCCCAGCCGTCTTTCAAGTGAGTCCATGTCTCTGTTCCACACACTGTATCTACACAACTGTACTGGCTTCAGGACAGCGTCACAGCGTATTCGATCTACCTGCTGAAGTTGTGCATGCAGGTGCGCCTGGACCAACCCGGTTCTGCTCAAAGCCAGCATAGTATCTTCATCCAAAGCAGCCTTTACGTGCGTGAGTTACTGGGAATTGAACCAGGGCCATCACATTGAGCTACATCCCTAACCCCCATCCCCCTTAACACAAGGCCCCGAAAAATCAATAAATTGACCAGGCTGAGCTCAAGTTTACCATCCTCCAGCCTCACACACAAACCCCCAATACTTCTGGGATCACAAAAGCGCGCCACCGCACCAGGCCACCAGACCATTCTTCATTACCTAAACCCTCATTTAAGGACTCCTAGGTGGTTGCCTCTCTTTAACCGCGCTGGGTCTATTTGCATTTCTTTTTTTTTTTTTTCATAAATAGGACTTTATTTATCACTATTAAAAATCTGGATCTTGGGGCCAGGGGGGTGGCTCAGCGGAATAAGTGCTTCCCTGACAAGCGCTAGGGCCTGAGTTCAATCCCCGGTTCCACAAAAAAATAAAAATCTGGATCTTAAACGGACTCTTGCACTGGTGGTTCGTATCCATCAGCTCGTTCAACTTTAGCTCCAGTCTCATCCCCAGGAGCCTTTCCAGAGCTGCTACCTTCACCATGAAGCTCCGTGAGGTTTCCCAATTCAAACTTGGGCTTCTTCAGCATTTTTACTTTTCTGACGAAGACATCATGAAGAGGGTAGATAGATTGGCAAGCCTTCTCTGTGTCTTTCCCAGTACTGTCTGGAATCAGTTTATTGACCACTTCCTTCAAGTCATTTGTCTGCACCTCCCGGGTCATGATTTCCATCATCTTCTTCTGGATCTGGCGGACCTGCTGGTGCTGAGTGTAAGAGGTCTTCCAGATCTGATTGTTGCGTTTTTTAGTAAAGCCAACACAGAACAGTCGAAGCAAATAACCATCGGTAGTGTTGACATCAACATGAGCTTCGATCATGGTCTGCCATTTTTTGACCATGGAACACGTTTTGTCCCGGGTGAGGTCCATGCCATGGAAGTTAGTCAGGCAGTTTTTGCCCTGAACATCTTCAGTAATTAGCTTGAATTTTCTAAAGGCAACTTCATCATTCTGCAGGTCAGCAAGGCTCACTTCAAACACACGACCTTTGAGCCCATCAGATGCAATTTTGGTTCCTTGGGTTCTGGTGGCGAGTGTTTTTCCAGTATTTCTTATGTTGAACATAGCTGGCGCCTTCACATTGCTCCAGGCAGCCGAGTTAGACAGAAATATTATAGGCAGTTAGACAGGGCCAGGCCCTCAAGGAGACAAGATGGAAGACAAGGTGACTTTGCAACTTGGAAGAGACAGACACTCCCATATGGGCCAGACCTCAAGACCAAGACAAAAAGAGGAAGCACAGCTACATACTTCCCTAGGGATGGGCATTAGGGATGGATATCCTAAATAGTATCAATCAACTTGAAAGAGCCCAAATGAGTCACTAGCCCAACCCCCAACAGGAAGAGACCCTGTCCGGTATTCATGTCCGCTTGCTACATGACTCGCTTTCCCATTTGATACTGGATTTAATCAATTTTACCTGAGCAGTGGTGCTTGTATCTCATGCCCAACTAAGCAAGTTCCCATGTCTTCTCCACCACCTTAGACCCGCCTCACCGCATGGTTTTCCTCTATAAAAGTCCCTGCAAGAGTCAACTTGGGTGGGGCTACCCCCCTCCTTCTCAGGACAGGAGCTTTCTTTCTCTCAATAAATATATTCTGCTCATAACCTCCATTTGTTCCTAAAATTAATTCTTCGGTTTTAGAGAACACGAACTCGTGCAGGTCAGGTCCTGAGATCGTTTTCCCCTATGTCATTTGAAGGTTCCCTATATGGTTTGGAGGTCACCCACTGAGACCAGTTTTTCTCCCTGTATCAACATCATACCAGTCTTTTTTAGAAAATGGATCAACCACTTTTTTTTTTTTTTTTTTTTTTTTTGGCGGACCTGGGGATTGAACTCAGGTCCTTACACTTGCCAGGGAAGCGCTTATTCCACTGAGCCATCTCCCCAGCCCTGTACCACTTTCTTCTTGGCTCCTTTTTTGCTGCTTTTCTAAGGCGCTTGTTCTTGCCTACTGCCATGGTGCTGCTTAGAGCTCTATTTGCATTTGAAGAGTACTCGGAGCTTGGCTTGGTGGCAGCATGCTTGTAATCTGCACTGTGGAGACAAAGGCAATGGGCTCACCAGGAGTTTCAGTTCAGCCTGGGCTACATAGGGAGTTCAAGGTTCGAGGCCAGCCTGAACCACGTACATAGACACTATTTCAAAAAAAAGGAGAGAGAGAGAGAACTTTGAGAGCAGGAAGGCCGCAGTGCACAGGTGCGGGCTGGAGCTCAGGCTCGCAACAGCTGCGGACTGGGAGGGCAGCCATCAGCGGGGCCTCCGGATTAGAATTATGCGGCCTCTTCCACGCGCGCGCGCACTCCAGGCGCGCCTCTCTTTCGGGGCTGACAGCATATTTTGGACAAGAGTGCAGGCGGTTGAGGATGAAATCCGGCTAAAGGCTAAAGAGCAGCTCGCAGAAACGCCTCCTGGGACCGCCGCCGAGAGTCCAAGGGGACTGGAAAGACGCTCCTGGGATGATTATTACTTAAGCTGCAGCACACGAGGCAGAGGACCCAACCCTTGGATCTGCAGCCTCTAGCAGAGCCGCTGCTCAGTTTTCACAAGCTGCTGAGTCCTCTGAGCGGGGAAGGTCGCCTGGCGTGTATCCAACTCTACCTCCGGGTGCGTGCTCGCGCTCGCCGTCCCCCAGCGACCACAAGGCAGCTTCCCACGACCCACTCTACGAATGATACATTTTAAAATAAACAATCCCGCTGAGCGTGGTGGAGCACGCTTGTAATTCCAGTACTCTGGGAGATCGCAAATTCGCCTGGCAATTTAGCGAGATCCTGTCACCTTAAAAAAAAAAAAAAAAAAAAAAGACTAAGGCTAAGAGCGGAAGCTCTGGGTTCAATCAGTGTGGCAAAAACGAACAAACAAATGAATGTAATTCTTTAGGCTGAAATTTAATCTGTTTGTAGCAGTAACACCCTGTGAGCAAAATAGGCACAAACCAAAGTTCCAACTGCAGAGTTCTAGTTCCTACTCCGACCTTTCCAAGTGGAGCCTCCTCCCATCCTCTGCTGGTTCACCTATAAAATCTTCGAAGTGATTTATAAAAATCCAGACAATAATCCTGGCTTCCTTGCTGCTCAGGGTGGATGCAAACACCAAATGGAGTAAGAGAAGGTAAAGGCCTTACAAAAGCAAGGTCACCTGCTGCAATGTGGGTTGCACTGATTCTTTTGACGGGAGTGAGAGGCTGAACCAGCCATAGGACGCCCCTGCTCTGTACCAGGCACAGAGAAACCAAAGAATATTCTCTCTCTCTCTCTCTCTCTCTCTCTCTCTCTCTCTATCTCTATCTCTCTCTCTCTCTCTTTGAGACAGGGTCTGGGTGTACAATTAAGGTCGTTCCTGAACTCACTTTGCACCCCAAGCTGGCCTTCAACTCTCAGCAATCCTCCTGCCTCAGCCTCCCAGGTGCTGAAATTTATCCCTGCTTTCTTAACAGGGCTCCTAATCTTATGAGGAGATAAACCATAAATGTCACGGGAAGCAGAGGTTTGCAGGGAGGCCAGCGGGGAGACACAATGTCTTCTTATCCTTCCCGTGAGACTTGACAAGAGTCAGCTTTTAATTTTTTGTCATGTTAATTCTTTTTTTTTTTTTTTTTGGTGGTACCAGGGATTGAACTCAGGACCTTGCTC